CTCTGATACCATGTGATAAATTATAAAAGATTATAGAAAGACCAAAGAAGCAGGAAAAGAACATACTAGAGAAGTAGGAAAAGAACACAAAAAATATAAGAGCAAAAAAAAAATAGAGATGCTCTTCAAACAGTATTTTATTAATTGATGAAGAATTAGAAATAGTAAAAAAGAAAATTGAAGCTCTGTCCTACCAGCAACTATGATTACAGACTTCAATTTATACTAAAAATGTCTCCTAAAACTAATTTGATTGAAGGCTAAAATTATTCCACGAACAAAAAACCAATTCCACTAAACTGACTCCTAAATTATTTAAATAACTTATAGACTCATTCAACATTAGATATGGCAGTAGTAAGTTGCACTAATTTGTAACATCTCAATGCAACCACCACCATTGCAACTTCAACTATTATGAAACAATCCATTTCCCTCTTTCCATTTCTCGCGCCCTTCTCTGCAAACACCATCGAAACCAACATTATAAAGGCCAAAATGCTAATCCAAATTTTCCGAAAAAGATAGAGCCGAAGAACTTCAAGTTTTGCCAATGGGCTCTCCGCCTTTCAAATAAGAGCCATCATCTCCATCCCAATCTAAGCTAAAACCCTCAGTCACCACCGTCAATGCCTCCACACTAGAACACCATTCCACGCAATTTTTGGGTTTGAGTTGATGATATGATAGTGTATATACATATACATGAACAGACTAATAGACAAGCTTTTTTACACATGTACATTTGGCGAAATTTCATTGACATATAAAAAAAAAAGGGGTAAACGGCTTTGCTACTTATACATCACAATGTACATTGGGGTGTACACCCTTCTCACATGGGGGTGGGACCCGCTTAAATAAAAAAATATTTTATGCAATGGGTTTCACCCCCCATGTGAGGGGGTGTAACTCCTTATGTACAAAAGTTGATGTACAAGTAGAATTTTTCAACAATAAATTGCTAATAAAAAGGAAAATACGATTTGTACATCACCCTTACCACTACTTTGACATAGTTTTGTCATTTTATGAATATTTTGTTTATTATACCTTTAGTCTTATGTTTTAATTATTTTTCGCATTTTACCCCAAAAATTGGTATTAGAACCTAGTAATGAAATTGGTATCAGACCCATACTCGCACGAGCAAAGCTCGTGGCTCGTTGGAAACGAGCCGAGCTTAAGTTGGGCTCGTCCTTTTTGGGCGAGCTCGGCTCATGCCTGAGCTTGCCCAAAACGAGCAGCTCGGCTTGCCGGCTCGCCAATTTTAACCTTTTTTTTTTGTGAAATGCTACTATAATTAAATCTTAAATTCAAAAAATATAT